TTATTATTTATTTTCTCTATTTTGAACTGAAATTTCATCATTAAATTTTGTAATATAGTTTAGTTCTGCATAGTTTTTTTTCTCTCATTGTAAACTAGTTCTGTAAATTGAACTTTTATTTAAAATTTTAAAAAAAGTAATTATTTTCCATGGTTGAGGTAATGCTTATTCTCTCTTAACAAATACTGCAATTTCTCATATTTTAAATTACAAGTCTAGTGTATTTTTTCTTTTAAGGTTGTGCAGTTGTGTATATATGTAATTAGAGCAGGTAGGGGCTTATTTTTTTCTTAAAATGTGCTTGAAAAAAAGTGCTTATTATAGGTGCTTATTTTTTAACTAAAATGTGGCTACTGAACTCTGATTTCATAAAATATAAAAGTTTGAAAATATGGTAAACTAAAACTATTCAGTGTCCAAAAAGAAGTAATTAATTAGTTTAGACCAAGGGTCGACAACCTTTTGAGTCGGAAGAGTCAAAAATTACAATTTACAAAATTTCAAAGTTTTTAAAAAGCCACTAAATTTTTTCTTGCCAACAATAAATAGTACTCGCATAAATAAAGTTTTTTGATAAACAAAAACTAATCTATTTATTCATAAGAAAAAAATATATTTATTCATATATAAATAGTGTTTTTCACAACAAATTAGATAATATATATATGGCATTATTAGATAATTTCTTATTATTTAAGTAAAAAATTAAAACAATTAAACATTTACTTACAACACTAACTTGTACTTCAATTAAAAAAAAAAAAAAAAAAAAAAAAAAAAGAGCAAAACAAATTCAATGGGAGCGTTGGCTTTGCATGGTTTTAGAAAGTTTGGATAAATTTGGCTCATAACGTGTTCTTTTAAGTTTCAAACACGACTCTAAATTTTTATTTGTTAGTTGGCTTCTTACTGTACTTTTAATTATATTCATGCTCGCAAGAATATGGCGATCCGAAGGTAGTCAGCACTCCAAATGCCAACTTCTTCACCTCACTGTAGCAATCTGGAAGACTATTCCATAAGTTGAATATAAGTGCCTCAACTCGCGGCATTTCTTTTAAAGTTGACCGCTTTTGTTGCATTACGTACATTCATTTCTGGACCTCCAACTCTTCCAACTTGCTTTTCATCTCTGTAAATTTTCCACTCCACAAAGCTTTACTTTTTAAAATCGATCAATTGCATTTCTAGAGATTCAGTATCAATTCCAAATGGCTCAATGTGGATTTCGTTACTATTTGTGTTGAGAGGATTTACTATGAATGCTAGAGTAGTTTCGTTGGTTTTGTCTGTCAGCAAATTCATCTTTAATTTTTTTGTAACTGTGCTGAAGTAATTCGTGTCAACAGTTGCACTGGTTTTATCGCGATAGTGCTTTAGAAATTGAAAATGAAGTAATTTACCGCTCTGAATATCTTCTGCAAAAAGATTTTTTTTTTTTTTTTTTTTTTTTCAAAACAAACCTATTCTTCTTCTAAAACATAGGCTGGGTTTTCCTTTCCTTGCAATTTTAGATTCAGCTCATTTAATTTCGCTGTGACATCCACCATAAAGTAAAATTTTTGCAACCATTTGTTGTTCTCTAATTCAGGGTGATTAAGGCCTTTTTCATTTAGGAATGTATTTATTTCATTCAAGCACAAAGCAGAACGTTTCAACACCTTTCATTTGGAAAGCCATTGTGAAGAAGGAAGTCGGAATACTAAGTCTCCATTTCGTTTAAGAATTCTTTAAACTGACAATGGTACAGTGCTTTTGACAAGATGCTGTTAACAATCTTGATTACTAAATTCATGACCTCAACTATTTGGTGGAAATGTTTGGGCACAAAAGTGCTTCTTGGTGTATTATGCAGCGAAACGTAACAATTTCGTCGTTTATTTTGCTCTGAAGAATCGTTGTTGCCCTTTATTTTTTTCCTGTCATACTTCTGGCTCCATCAGTTGCTACTGAAACGATTTTATTTAAATCGATCTTATTGCCTTCTAGGCATTTTTGTATGGCATTCGCTATATCTTCCCCTCTATTTTGTCCCGAGAGCGGTAAGCAATCCCATGAAGTTCTTTTATTGGACTACTTGGGAAGATATCTACTTTTTAAAAAGGGCAACTTGTGACCATGTTTTTTATGTCGCAAGACTCATCTATAGCAAGGCAGAAGAAAGCTGAATATCTTCCACCTGCAAATATGTTACATTTGAAGACATTTTAGTTATTCTATCTTGTACTGTTTTAGCGGATAGTGGCAAATCTTTGATTTTTTTCAAGATTTCTGGTTTGTTTTTGAAATCACAAAACAGTACTTCAGATGCACGTATGAAGCAATCTTTGACATACTCCCCATCTGTGAATGGTTTGCCTTTTTTTTTTTTCAATTTCTAATGATACCGTGAAGCTTGCCAGATTAACATTACTTGTATATTGCGTCCAGTTACTTAACATGGAACTTGATTGCTGTTTTTGGAGCTCATCGACAGCTTTCTTTCGTTCTTCGCTGGCTGGGTATTTACTAGCAAATTGAGTACGTTTTTTTAGTGAAGTGTCTCTCTAAATTTGATTTCTTATTGTGCGTGAGTTTTTCGAGGCAAATGAGACAAGTCGGAAGGCCATTTGAGTTGCATATGAAAGCGAACGACTGCGTCCAATCCCGATTGAATTCTCGATGCTCTTCTTCAATTCTTCTCTGTTCTTTTTTTTTTTTTTTTTTTTTATGAAATAAATAATATTTGCGTATGAAACTAAAGAGCCGCGGCTTCACATCCAAAGAGCTGCATGTGAGGCTCGCAAGTCGCAGGTTGACGACACCTGGTTTAGACTGTTTTTACAAATTTATCAGGAATTTCTTTCTATTTAAAACCTCCTCCACTACTTCTATAATGATGTAAATATGAACTTGTGTCTTTTAGAAAATCTAGATGTGGCTCTCGAACATTCCTGAATTCAAACGTGCGGCTCTTACTGACATGAAGTTTGGCCAACCCTGATATATTGGATAAGTGAAATAATTCCATTTGAAACAACATACACAACAATGCCAACCACACTCACTTTATTGCCTCCAACTTTAGCCATTTTGCGCGTATCCGGTCCTTCACGATATAGCTGTAGGTCTTTTCAGAAGTTTTTCTTTTCTGGGTGTTTTCTGTTGTAAGTAGTCGTTTGTTTCACATCCAGATGGTAGACGATAACAATGCTGTATTTAAAATCATGTTTGTTCAGTACCACAGCATACAATCGTCCATGCTGTAACTGTAATTTGCTGCGCTGTCTTGGTTAATAATATATATATACGGGGATATATTTCATGTTTGAAATGGGGAGAAAGAAATAATTTTCTAGTATTTCCTTTACAATATATAATAATATATTACATTTATTTAAAATATGTATTTTTAACTCAGTGTATACAAGGCTGGTGTATGTAATTTTTAAGGCCTCACGCAAGTTGAACTTGTGTGTTCTGTAACTTTAAAATTGTACTGGTTCAGACTATTACAGAATTTATAGGTGGTTAATCTCCTGAGTTCTGCTTGGAGATTTTTGGGCATCTGGAAAGCTTTTTACAACTGCAATTCATAGCTTCCCTATTTGTTAACCATTTTATTTCGGAAACAAAATTTATAGACACTTATATAATGTATTTTATATATTAACAATTTTCAAAATTATGTAGTATTCCACAGCCAAATAAACTACAAGTATAGTAAAACACTGTAATGCGACACTTGTATAATATTAATAAAAATGCACTTGTATAATATTAATAAAAATGCACTTGTATAATATTAATAATATTAATACACTTGTATAATATTAATAATATTAATAAAATTTCAGCGAAATCTGAAAAGGGCAGAATATTTTCAAGAAATTCAGCAATTTAACCATATATAATGTTCTACACTTCTAATCCTTTTTAGATTTTACAGTATTTTGTTGTAGATATGTACTTAAAAGCATGTAGTCTGATTTATTTTTTAAATTACTTTTCATCACTATTCATAAAGGTTATCTTGTATCCTCATAGTTTTGTTACATAAAATCAATAACATTTTCTTTTTCTCTTCGGGCCCTTTTTTTTAATTGTTTACTTAAATCTTCCCATTTCTTACCTTCTCAGCACTAGACCCGTTAACTAGCTTGTCAGTATCCAGTGAACGTGCCATGTCTTTCTTCTGTTATTGTAGGAAAATCTTTTAACCATCATTCATTCATTAAAGATCGTAAATAATTTTTTATTAGTTTTGCAAATCTGCGTTCATCTGAGGTTGCACATCTGAAGCACAACACGTTCTTAGTGCAATTAACACATATGGGAAAATATCTTCCAATATGTTTTTCCTGGATATACTGAAATACCATTGTACAGCTGTTGGCAAATAAAACACACTCGGCTTCAAATCTTTCTGTACTTTTTTTGCGTTATTCCTATCTCGAAGTACACTGCGATCTCTTCGCTTATAAAAAACATCGGAGAATTGCGGAGACTCGGCTTCGTGCAATCCTCGGCAACAGCGGATATCTAGGAAACGCATTTTCTCGTTTTTCCCTTTAGAAAATGTTCAGCGAAATTCTGTATTCCCGCAGAAATTTTACTGCAGTTTCTTACATTTCCAGCAAATTTCACAAGCTTATATTTAAAACTAAGTGTACGGCAAAAAGTATCCCGATTTGTTTATAAAAACCGTTCGAACGTGGAATAAAAAGAAAGAGAACGCATCGCATACAAAAGTGGCGGCGTTGCTTGAATGAAACGATTGTTATGCGTATGTTTGTTTGCCGGAAGAATGGTTATGTGCATGGCTGGAAGAATTCGGCATATTCTGAAAATTTGGTGATTTCTACTAAGGTGGTTGCATTAATACATAAGTACTATAATTTAATATTTAAATCTTATATTAAAGGAAACTATCATATTCATAGCTGATCAAATTGTTTCTCTTTCATATTTTATGCCTTTAATTTAATATATTGGATTAAAAAGGATAATTTCTCTTTTAGGTGATTTCTGTGGTTGAGATGTGCATGTCGGACCCTAACAATCCATCGAACGAAACCAGCTCTGTGAAGGTGTTCTGCGAACACTTGACCCATGTTCCCGAATGGGTAGCAAAGCATACGAGTCCGCCACCCCAGCTTACACGGGTAAGAAATACTTTAATGTGCGAATAGCGGCTATTTAGGAAATGCAGTTCCTTGTTATTTCCTTTAGAAAATGTTGAGCAAAATTCTGCTTCCTGCAGAAAGTTTACCACAGTTTCTTCCATTGCTGGAAAATTTCGCAAGCTCATACTTTGAAATTAAGTTTAAGGCAAAAAATATGGTTTGTTTATGACAAGAGTTAGAACTTGAACCACAAAGAAAAAGAAGGAATATAAGAATGGCGGCGTTTCTTGAATGAAACAATTGTTACGAATATATTTTTGCCGAAAGAATTGTTATGCGCATGGTTGCCAGAGTTTGGTACATTCTGAAAATGTGGCGACTTCTACTAACGTGGCTGCGTTAATACGTAAATACCGAAATTACATTTCTTTGGTTTTGCCACATAAAAACTTCATTAAATTTATAAGAGATGTTATCACGTTAACATTTAATTCAGTATCTGCAACGAGATAATTTTTTTAATACAGTTTTTTTAGTTACATCCAAGAAGATCATCGTTACGTATTTTCCGTGGAAAGCCATCGTCAGATAAAGTATTTAACCTGATACAATCACTACCCACTGTTCATTGCAGGTGCCATCCAGTCTGTGGGAAGATAACTGCCCTACAGAAGGACCCCAAACTCGAATCCTGGAGAAAGCATGGATGTTTGTAAGTGTTTGTGTAGCAAGGGGGCAATCAAAATACATGACGAGCCGAAATCCTCTCGAGAGGTTGATGGTAGGAGAAGAGCGATGGGAGAACCTCGGATCTCTTGCTGGAGTGTTTTCCCTTGTTTTCTATCCGAGGCGGAAACTTAGCAGTTAGCAAGGCTTGGCGATATCTGATATGCGTAGATGGATACATATTAGATGCAATGAATGCGCAGATGCTGACCTGTCTTGAACCTGTACCTGTTCACTGCATGTTTCTGCAGTTGTAAATTTACTGCAGTTTCCATCAAAAACGAAGACGTTTGTAATAAATGTAAACTATCGTATTAGTTTATTGTAAGCAGATGTGTTTATTATTATTATTAGCTGTGAGTAAGGTATTGTTACGAAATGTACAGGCGCTGTGAGATAGCTTCCCCGCAAAGCAGTTTTAGGTTGCCATAAAAACGGCAAGGGAAGGCAGGGTTGCCACATTTGGAAAGAAATCGCCCATTTGGCGACAAAATTGGCGATATACCATGGACGGATGGAGAACTTTCTGGAACGAATTCTTACCGGTTTAGCCCCGAATGTTCTCGAACACAAGCCGAAAGCTATATAAACCCTGCTGGTCCGCTGTCAGTGAATGTAAGAATTGGAGGCTCCCTTCAGCCCACCTGGACACAAGTGTCCCCATAGCTCAAAAGAAGGGGTCAGTGAATGTGTGTGCCTCGTAGAGTGTCTCATCTAGTTAGTCCGTGCGGAGACGATCGAGTTGACAGCCGGCCAGCGAGTGCCGAGTGGGTCGTCGAGTGCACCGAAGGAGTCTGTTAGTGTATCGCGGTTAGTGCATCGTCGAGAAGAGCGTATTGAGCTCCGGGAACAACTGAACCGAAGAGTCGGGAGCTGTGCTCGTGTGTTGTCGAGTACATCGCGAGTTGTAGCGTGGAGAGTCTCGAGAGTACGTGGAGTTCCGAGAACGACCAAGCAGAGTCGGGAGCTGTACTCCGGAAAGCAGAGTCAGGTGCTTTGCAGGAAGCTGTCTCCTTTGCAGGAACTGTTATTGCCTGACAGTGTGAAGGCTGTGTCGCTGATTGTTCCAGCATGTTTATAGTAGATCTTTGACGACCGTGAAAGTGTTTTGGAGCTGTCCTGACAATACTGGCAAATAAAGTGGGTTTCGATACTTCATTAAGTGTCGTCGTTATTCACTCCATATCTACGAACTCCGTACGAACGTAAAGGAAGAATAAAAAAAGTAACAGTATTTTAGACCCTTTAACCTTACATATCAAAATAGGCTATCCTATGTGACCAGGTCGTAAGACTCCTCTTTTTTTTCCGTGTGTGTGTGGTTTTTCCTGAACATTGGTTAAATCCATCTGTTTTGCTTATAATATTATGTTGTGTTCATTTTTCAACGAAATTATATTTAAATAAAATCATTGGGTATCTAGCATCATCTGCTTCTTCATGTTCATCATCTCTCTAACATTCTGTATTATTACGTGTGTATATGTACATATATATGAAGGTATTATTACGTGTATATTGTGGTGGCCAAAATTGTGGACACTTTTGGAAATTTTTATGTTTTTGAACTTTGTATGCTTATAGAAAATGTTACGTTTCGCAAAATGCAAGCTTGTATATATCATTTTAAAGAGAATTTATTACTGAATTCAATACAAAACACAAAATTCAATTATTGCCAATGCAAAAAAAAAAAAGTTATATGTACTTAATATAAATAAAAAAAACACAGTATGAAGTGGTTTGTAATGTCTAGCTTTCCTGGCCAATCACTATTCTTGTTCTGAGAACCAATCAAATGTTAGTAACTGCCAGTAGAAGCTGACATCATGTTACACTTGAAACAATTCATTATTTTTGCTTTGTTCTGTAGAAGGAGACCTGTTTCTTATACAGTGCAATTACAAGTAGGAATTTTTGTAAAAAATTTTAATATTTATTCAAGAAGCAATCACATCAAATAAAAGAGTAGATTGGACACCTAGAAAGAGATGTAATATTATTGTGTTACGAGAAAGTGGTCTTTCCTATGCTGAAATTGCAAGACAGGGGTGGGTGGTTCAGTGACTACATCTGGAGCCCGAAAGTTTTGTTTACGATATCAAGAGACAAATTCAATAAAAAACAAAGAAGGAAAAGGCCGGAAAAGGTGCACCACATCTATTGATGACAGAAGAATAAAAAGACTATGTCTCCAAGATAGAAAATGTCATCAGCGGCCATCAGAAGTGATCTGAATGATGCTGGTGTTTCTGTCAGTTCAAGACACATCAGGAGAAGATTAACAGATGTTGGACTGAGAGGTAGAAGAATTCCACGAAAAAAGCCTTATCTTAATTTTCAGCAACGAAAAAAAAGACTACAGTGGGCAAAGGAACACATTAATTAGACAGATGATCAGTGGTCACAAGTTCTATGCAGTGATGAAACTAAGATATCGTTATTCGGTAGTGATGGGCGAAAATATGTAAGACGTAGAATAGGCGAAGGGCTACATCCTGACTGCATTCAAGCAACTGTGAAGAACCCAGTTAGTGTTATGATTTGGTCATGCATGTCAGCATATGGTATTGGTTGCCTTCATGTCATCGATGGGACACTGAATGCCAGAAAATACATTGACACTATTCTAGAACCAAAACTTCTACCTTCAATCAGAGATCTCTTTCCCAACAATGCTTCGTTTATTTTTCAGCAGAATTCTGCTCATTGCCACACGTCCAAAATATCGAAAGAGTGGTTTCGTACAAAGAGCATTAAATTGTTGTCATGGCCAGGAAACCTCAATCCTATCGAAAATTTGTGGCACCGTTTGAAACTCTTGTCCGAATGAGGCGCCCATCAAAAAAAAAAAAGGTAACTAATTGAGGCTTATAATTGTTTCCTGGTATCATGTAATAACGAAAAGAGAAGCTTAAAACTCTTGTCAGCTCAATGAAAACGTCGATTGTAAGCTGTAATCAAAAATAAAGGGTACCTTACTAAGGACTGATAACTCACTGCAATCATCAATATCTAATGTTATATCGATAACTATTATCGTTTAACTTCTTTCTTTGTATTGCAAATAATTGAATTTTTGTGTTGTTGGTATTGAATTCAGTAATAAATTCTCTTTAAAATGATATATACAAGTTTGCATTTTGTGAAACGTAACGTTTTCTATAAGCATACAAAGTTCAAAAACATAAAAATTTCCAAAAGTGTCCACAATTTTGGCAACCACTGTATATATATATGAAGGTATTATTATGTGTATATACATATATATGTATGTAATAGAAACAAACTTAGAAGTAATAAACAGCAGGAACTTTGGTGGCATATAAATGTTGATCCATAATGAATGTGAAACTGGCAGCCGAGGCAAATTAAATCTTCATTTTTATTTCAGTAAAACATGTTGCAGCCACAAACAAACTGGCACATTATTTGTGCCTATTCCAAAAAGTTTCCATTTTTTTATAAAACTTCAGTCTGTGAGTCGATTGGAAGCTGTTTTATTTTGCTGTGCTTTGGTTCTGCTGCTAACTACGCCGTTATTTAAAATGTGACACTCTATATAAAATGGCGGTGTGAGTATTGCGCCCATGATCATGTGTGATGAAAGATATATTTTTAATAATTAGTTCGTGTCCAGCAATAAAGAATTATGTTCAGTTCGACTACTCCCTGTCTACCAAGTCCCCCTCCTTCGAGCGTCATCTTCCTAGTAATGCAGCAGTCTCTCCAAGTTTTTATCAAACATATATATATAATTACAAAACAATTCTTTTGAATATAAACATGCCTAGTATTTTCGCGCATTAAGCTGCAGAAAAAAATATCATTAAAGACATAATGTAAGAAATTTGGAGCTAATATTTCCCAAAGACAAAAAAAAAAAAAAAAAAAAAAAAAAAAAAAAAAAAAAAAATACACAAACTTAAAAACCATTTGTTTATCAAAAATATTATATCTCATCACAGGAAAAACTGTTTAGGGAATTGCTATTGCCTCATGCTAATTGTAGTCAAATGATAAAATATTAGATAAAATATTAAAGCTGGAAAACATTTTCTTAAAAGGGTGATTATAGTTTGAAATGTGTATATATATTGCAGGCTTTCAGGATAAATTTCTGATTGATGTATATTTGATGAAAAATTTTTACGAATCGCATAACAATAAATATGTCACTCTTTGGGGTTAAAAGTTTACTGATAGTGAATTGACTACATTGGTTTTTTTGACCTACAAATATCTGTCATTTTTTAGGCGGTGTTTTTCGACGTACACTACTGAATGATTGTGATCTCACTTCTTGGTTCAGT